CTGCACCAAGCTCAGGTTAGGGTTTCCTGTCTCATAAGGGCAACCCCTGGTCCCCACCAGCCTGTGGACCGGGGTGACGAGAGGCCCATGCAGCTGCAAACTTACGCACCGCGGGAGACATGCATGGAAGCCATTTGGAGAGGACCAGGAGGTGAAGGGGCTCCAGGGTCAAGAGATATGATGAGCTGTTTATGAGCCGGGGAAGTAGCACGTTTGGGTTCGTTTGTGCAGTCGAACTTTTTATGGTTTGCATTTGATACATTCAGGAAGCTGTTCTATCAAACTAATTCCTTCCTGTATTGATGAAGTGTCTGTCACCAGAACATGTTGCTCGATTCATCGCCAAGGCCTCGTCATATGTTTTTAGAAAATTGAAGGGATCCCTGAAGGAGACACGAAAGCCTCTATTGGACGTCATGCCAATTCATCCAAATGTTGAGGAGTTGGATTAAAAACAAATTCAACGCCATGGTAACGCTTAAGGAGACGGGATCAAGAAACCACAAACTTCTGTTTCACGGCAGTCTGTCAGATCGTCGGTTTCTGATTCCAGTCGAGTGACGGACCGCTAGACAGGCTACGATCCTCACCGAAAAGCAACCTGTCATTTCACATATTCAGACGGACCCTACGCTCTCCAGACTCCTGACTGTTTCCATTGCTCGCTGTGAGATGCCGTGTTCTTGTTGTTGTCATATGAAAGACATATTTGTAAACCAGCGAAGAAGAAAGAATCCAAAGATGTTGGCAGTTACACGAACAGTACAGCAGCTCTGGCGTGCAGCTACGGGAAGAAAACACGCAATTTCTTCAATTTGTAAAAGCCAATCTCGACTTTTTTAACTTCCCTAATTCGAACTTTTTGCGCCCCGAAGACCGCTGCCAGAATCCGCCTCAGTAATGAGGTCAGCAGAACCTCGAAGACCCGCTCCCGCCGAACTCCAATTTAATAACTCCAAATGTCACAGAGAATTACTCGATTAAACTGCTGCCTCGTTTTGTGTTCGCTTTGCTGGCCGTTCAGTAAAGCTTCGAGTCCGCTCACAGCAGCTTTCATTAGTACAGGATCGACTCGTTTCTGTCACGGGCAGAACAAAAAGCATCTGTGTAAATCTCGTTCTCGTTACCGTCCGCGCTTCACTTGAGAGGCGTATTGGCGAGAAGTCAGCTCAGGATGTTTGTTCCTATATGACGTTGTTTCTGTTTTTCTTCAATTTGCACATCACGAGTTCATACAGAAAATCCTGGGTTTTGTCATTTTTACTCCAAAGGATACACAGCAAGTAATTATCAAGTATTATGTGCACTGCTGTAGTGTGATTTATCACAAAGTTGTAGCTAGAGTGTCTGTTTTTATGCACAGAACCCCGACTTTCTAGCATTTTTGATTCAACTCACTGTCTCCCTGCTCGAACGGCACACATTTCAATTAGCTCCAGGCCAAAGATGGACTCTTTACACGCCATTTATTAGCATTATACACCAAAGGAATGTGTGTGATTCCATGTAAACCGCATACCTGCATGTAACATGTCACTACAAGGTCAACAAGCAGTGGGACAGTCTGTAAGGTGGGAACATGTGTCAGGTTTTTATCAGAGTCTCCTTGAAGATTTCCTCAGAAGTCAGTCGGCGTATAAGCTACTGTAAGTCTGCATGTCTCAGTGTCATTTCCCACACTTTGAATGAACTTTTTTTTTTACCCGTTTATGAATACAGACATCTGGCACAGCGCAGATTCAGTTTCGTTGAGGGACGTGTATTACAAGACGAGCCAGGCCTTGTTCTTTTTTTTTTTTTCTCCTGCTTGTAAAAACGTCACCTGTAGTCCACCTCGGGTCCCTGGAGGAGCTCTGTAGCTGTTTTGGAAACCCTACTCCTCCCCGGAGAGCGCCGCAGCTTTAAAAGCCGACGTCCGGTCCCACCAGAGCAGCGCCGAGCCGAGCGTTCAAGGAGAGGAAAACCAAAGCAAACCGATCAAATCAGCACCGAGAAACATTTAAATGTTCTTGAAAGGCCTGTTTATCTGTTTCAATTTGGAAAATTTACGTCTTTACATAACACGCAGAGCCTTTCCCATAACAATGCCAGGTAATTAAAAAAAACAAGGCTCACTCACTGCAGATGTCATGCTGCGAGATCCATCGAAGCCCCTGCCCTTGTTTGTGTTAGTTTTCGATGTGGATTGAAGAACACAGCGGTTCAGATGTGTAAACAGTCAGGTTTAACCCGGGTTTTAGTGGGATCAGCCCACTGCCACACCACAACATGACCAGGTTCCCACAAAACTCCCACTGGTGCATGTTTCAGATCTGTTCTGTTCTCTCTCTGTAGTCTGCTCCATTATTTTATTGTCACCCCCTTTTTTTTGCTCTTTTTCTATCATTCTTCTGTCCTCGGCTGTTATTTTCTTCTCTATTGTCTTTGTTTTTTTGGCATTTCATTGCAGAGTATTGACACTCTGGCAGCAAACTTTGCCTGCAATAAATGCAATAATGCTTGTCTTAATGAACCGCTGTGCATGCAGAGACTGATGCATGAAGAAGGAGAGAGTCTAACAGGGTACATTCTGAGGCGACAAATTTATAGATTCCCCCTAAATGCCTCACATGCAGACTATTAGTCGATGCTACGATTTAGTGTTCCTGCCGTGCATCTGGTCGCATGTGCAACCCAAATACTCGCACTCTGGAGCACCACTCTGTCCTAAATCATCTCCCGATTCACTCGTTCACTACTTCATATATTTCTCTCTCTCTCTCTGTCAATAAATTACTTAGTTGTGAGCAGTAAATTCAGATATTGGAAACGCCCTTCATCATCACTCTTTCTCTGGCAGCATGTTGGATCTGTCAACTGTGAATTTGGCCTCTTATTAAAAGTGGCACTTTGTATTGTGACATTGGTAGCACAATGAGGCGTACATGATGTGGAGGCAAATGTTGGTTTTGATTAGGCGGCAAGTTAGAGATCAACCGAGTACAGTCGTGGCTCGATGATCTGACATTAAATGTAAAACCTTCTTTTCTGTCGGATAGCAAGGCTGTCGGATTGTCAAGACGGAGGTCCAGATACAAGGAGGGCTTGATGCTGGAAGGCTCATTAGTTGTTAATATTTATATAGTTATATAGTTGTTATAATAACTGGTATATTGTTAGAACACTACGCATCTCTGGATTTCAGCCTAACTGACCGGTGCGCTTGTTCACGTTCCAGCCACTTCCACCCCGGGGCAGCGCTCTGACGGGGTGGAAGTGTCCAGAACACACAGGCAGTACTTGGCTGCTGATGCTAGTTTAGTTAGCGCTCACACTTCTGTTTCCTCCATCGGTGGCGGCGGGGGAGTGGCAGATACGCTCCACCGTTACCATCCATGTTTACTTCCATAAACACTGAGCATGACGTCGTCGTGTCCTCTTCTGCGCATGCGGGACACTTTTGGGTCGTATGAAGTTCACACAGCAGATCACATACAAGTCGCATTGAACTGGAAACGTGAAGGAAGTCACAAAGAAATCCTCATTGAGCATCAAGTCCTGCAGTGTGAACGTAGCCAATCTGTGGGATTGTTCAGTCAGATAATACGCCGTCATCCTGATTGGTGACATTAAATGTCATGTTGGAGTCAGAATCCAAGGCTGTTGGTGTGTTAAGGCTGTTTTTATGGGTTCCATTCGCTTTTCCTAAAAACCTGTCGGATAGCAGGTTTAGGATTGTTAAGGGTCGATTATCGAGTCACGGCTGTATTGGATTGGCCTCTAATCAATCTTGTTTTGCTTTTTTTCTAATTATTTGTGGATTTTTTTGAGTCCCACTGCAAAATAATGTTTTAAAATGTGCGTTATTCTGAATTTTGACACCAGGAATTGTATTGTTACTGCAAATATATATCAAACACCAGCGACTGGCCTCTTTAATTACTAATAATTGACATCAGCCATGAAAAATCAATATGGGTCAAATGTAGTGTACCGTATGTTAGAGAAAGTGATTTTACGCACCGCTATGTCAGAGTTGGGGTTAAGTCGTCTAAAGTAAAGTGCATTTTGAAAAAGTAAACCAATCCAGTCCAATCAGCAGGTCACTCAGAGTTGACTTCTCCCTCCCTGCCTAACCTGATTTCATGGTCATGTTTAAACGTGCATGAGCTCCGTCTGGGAAGTTGTGACTACGAGAAACGTGAAGCAGCGCTGCGTGATGTGGTTTGGTTCAGCACCAAAGTGTTTGTCTTGCCTTTTTTTTCTTTTCTTTTGCTGGGGGGTGTTGTTAGACGTGCACCCTGTTATTTACCCCAAGCTTGATCACATGGTAGTGATCAGTGGGGGGATAAATGGAGTTTGAAGTGGAGGTGGTAACCGTGTGATGGTGAAAGCCTCAAAGGCAGAGAAGCAGACCGGATGATGAAGGTCACTTACTCAGTCGGTCTGTGGTGTTATGGCCTTGAGCGAGGTGTTCAGAGAGGCCGTGTTTTTGATTTTAACACCTTTCGTCTCAGGTTATAAGATATCACAGGTCTGTGATTGATGTCTGTCCAGGAGTTTTTTTATGCCTCTGTATGGGCAACAGCCGTGGACAAAGAGATTATGTTTGTGGGTTCCATTCTTGTGAACACAACATCTCTTTAGTGTCTCGTTGGAATTTCCTCAAATTTGGCACAAACGTCCACTTTGGCTCGACGATGAACTGATTAGAGTTTGGTGGTCAGAGGTCAAACGTCAGCGGGACCTCACAAAACCATCGTTGTCCACAATTCAAGAATTCATACGTTACTTCTGACAACTTTATATAAAAAGGTCAGAGGTCAGCTTTATTCATAATCATAATGTTCTGCAACAGTTTTCCGACTCTTCAATGCTACAACTCAGCAACAGAAGGAGACGTTGCTGTGGGCGGCTGTGGCTCAGGTGGTACAGCGGGTTGTCCCTCTAATCGCAAGGTTGCTGGTTCGATCCCTGGCCCCTCCACAGTCGAAATGCAAGACACTTGAACCCGAAGTTGCTCCCAATGGCAGGCAGCACCTTGCATGGCAGCTCTGTCACCATTGGTGTATGAATGTGTGTGTGAATGGGTGAAAGCACCATATAAGTGCAGACCATTTACCATATTGATCAGATTCTGACATGAATAAACTGATCTCAGGTGCCCATCTATTGAAGTCCTTCAAAGTCTTCACTGCATATATCATATAAGTCTGGACAGACGTGGACGACAACTTGACTTCTTGCCCGAGATGCACAAGTAATCCTAAAAGCAATACTTGTGTGCAAATTACGTTCCAGTTTCAGTGTCTGGTGAAACTCAACGTGGGTTATGCCATTTATAAACTAAACATTTCTAACAATTGAATCCCTTCTTTCCTTGTTTTGTGGTAGAAGGAACAACAGTATGAGGGTGGTGATGCTCTTTAAGGTGATGACAGAACTACACTTGGTGGAAGAAACACTGTCTTGCTCATCCCGGTACACTGTGTTGTGCCTTTTTGTTTAAGTGTTTAAGTATTTCTGTCCTGTCTATGTCTGACTCATCGGTTGTAGATTATGGCTGAATATTCCACGTGGCATTTTTCTCCGACACTATTTTTGCAGCGACGCCGTGCAAACAAGCCAGGAGAGTTATTTCCCTATAGAAGAACGATAATGGGTGCAGCCAGGCAATCTCCAGCACATATGAAGGAGAAACTTGTGGCAACGCGAGACAAGTGATTTATTTCCCTCTCTATTTAATTGTGATTTATAAAGAAGCGATTTTCCCCTCCTCACAAGAACTGCACTTAGCACGAGACACTTTCTGCAAGTGGAAATAATAAACCGCCGCACGGTTCACAAATTAAAGATGCATTTATCCAAAGGCTGGACTGACAGTTTTCCATCCCAGCGTTTTATAAGGGCAGATATCTGCGTGGTATGAGTCTTAGCGTTGTCACTCATTGTGCTGCAGCGTTGGCCTGAACAAGCCGCTCTGGTGTACTTGAACACTTCGAGGGCGGGTAAACACCTGCTAATGTGCTGAACAATCAGTCTTCAAGTTGAATTTCAGCTGACGACAGCAAACTTTTGATTGATATTCGAGTAAAGTGTAATAATTGTGTGTTTAGCGCAGATGTCTTGACACTTTTGAAATGATTTTCCCGACTCTTGCATCTCATTGCCACAGTTTATATGGGTGGATGACAGACTAATTGCGACGAATAAATCTCCATTTAAGTTTCTGTCAGTGGTACGGCGAGGGAAGGTGACTAAAACTTTGGGTATGGCTTAAGATGACACGGCAACCTGAGCCAGTGTATCTGGATTATGCTGCCTTAATTGGAAAAAAATAAACTCCAGAGGCCCTAAAGATTTACAACTGAATCAGAGAGTCATTATATCCTCCGACAGGGCTGTGTATCAACCACACTCTGTTTACTCTCAACACGGCAGACCTCACGGTTCCCTCGTCTTCCACCAACACAACCTTAAATAAACAGGCCTATTGAGTTGCAACATGTTTAAACGGCCGCTTGAACAATGCGCTGTAATTGCTCCAAAAAAAAGGGGCACGGTTACCGATTTGGTAAAAGATCCTCACTGTTGGCGAGTGTTTTCTGATTGGGCTCGTTGGCCTTTGTTTTGATAGGTGCATTTGAGCAGCACGGATGAGCCGTCCGTCAGCGGAAGGGCAGCAGAGCCAGCAGCAATCATGGACCTGGCCTCGGCAGCCAAGCTCCGAAATATACTCCTCTATGGCATCCAGCTTCATCAGTCCAAGGTAAGAGCTTTGTCTTCTTCATTATTATTTTCTTTTATTTCTTCCGAAAGTGAGATCAGACTTCCTGAGGAATGCTCATTTAAGACAGGCCAAACAAAACAGAACGGGACATGTCTTTAAAGTGTCTCCTTCCAATGTCTTGTCAGGCTTTTTTTTTTTTTTTTTCCCCCTTCAGGCAAAATTGATGTCTTTTATCACCCATCTTTATGTGTTAGGTCACACGCACTCGTCTGTGTGGCAGTAAATGTGTGCCCGCCAGTGTGATGAAGGGAACAGGATATCAACTTTTAACCTCCCGCCAGATGTGTTGCGCAGTCTTGTTTGAACTGAATGCCAGAGGGATGACAAGGATGCAGAGGTGCTGTAGGTCTGAAGCTCGGCGCAGCTCGATCAATGCGCGACTGAACTGCTGCGTGTGCTGGGAATCCTCCCTGCAGCCCTTAGAGTGGATGTGGTCGACCTGAAATCCATCACTGACTGCTCAATAATTACAGCATTATATAAGGTGGAATTATTCATCACGCACAGTAAAATAATGTCAGATTCACGCCACCGAAGCCATCAAATCACATCATGGGTTTCTGGGCTGGATGCACAGGACAAAACTAAGACAAATGTTGAATATTCATGACATCGTTGGCCTCAGATATGACATCCATCACGATTTATGCTCTTCACTGACTGCCGCGCTGTGACAAATGAGGTTTCTTGGCAGCCGCGTCACTTCACGTATCAGCGGTAAAAGCCTCGGTGCCTCAGGCGAGGGGATGTTTGAGCAGGTCGGGTTTATTCACTCCTGCACAAAACAAAAAAAAAGGAACCGTGAATGATGATGATGATGATTATGTGAAGGAGGCTTGGATTCGTCTGCGGTCTGGGAAAGCGGCGTGCTGCTTCGTCGGGCCTTGACGTCACCGCGTCGTCTAATTAAAATGAGGTGTTTTGTTTTCAACCATTTCCCCCGCATATGAGTCTGATTCCTCTATCGGATGTTGGACATCAAGGTTTTCCTCCGAATTATGGAGACTAATGCTGCTAATTAGTCATCCTGCTGAGAGAACAGAGCAAAAGGGGAAAGGGAGTGGATGCGAGATAATGCGCGTTTCACCATGATAAAATGCTTATCGTTGTGAGATGGTGGAACAACATAATACAGCCTCGTATAAATCACAGTTAACTTTTTGTTATAATAAGGATAATTCCACCCAGATGGCCTTATTCGTACTTGTCAAGATGGCTGCCAACACTTCCTCCATTCGCTGCGCGGTGAATATTGCTCTCAAATTAGGTTTGTTTCATTTCTTTTGGATTTAGTAACACATATTTTGAAAGGAATCATTAGTGCACACATAGCTGAAACTTTTATTTTGGTAAAAGACGCACCAGATTATTATTTTTTTACCTCTGCGATGGCACTGAGCTCACACAAGTGATGATATAACTGAGTGCCACTGACAACTCGGGTATCTCTGCCATGAAACTTGGTGTTTTTTTTTTAGCATCCAGAGAATTGTGATATATTTAGTTTGGTCACACAAAGACAGACATGTTGTGTTTTCCCCATGACAACACAGTCTGGATTACATTTTCTGTTCCTTGCAAAGAAAGGTCAAGTTTTCCTGTTTGGAAGTCTCAGAATATCTCTGCGGAGGACGCCAGTGCAGACTGAAAACATTTAGCGATGCTGCTGTCCAGAGGTTCATGCATATGTCTTCTCCGTGACAGATCGTTTTCTGTTATTAAACATTGTTTGTTGATTTGCATAGCTTCTATTTTTTTCTGCCCGCTTGTGTGTGTTTGCCAGTTTCTGCACCAGAGACTCTCCTTCATTCTGTGTAAAGCAGCTCAGAGGTCAACATCATCCTGGTGAGATCCTAAAATTCAATTTTCTGGTTTCTAACTTTTGGAGGGAGTTAATCCTGTTGTGTGCTGCGTGGATAAAATCTTGCTCCGGTTTTAGCCAAATAAAGAGAAAAAACAGTTTTTCTCAGCCGCAGTGTTGTTTTTACGGTAAAGTGCCCGAGGTCACGATGTACGAGCCAGAGCCGTAATCTGTGAACATGTGAACTCTGACTACTGTTACTGTGTGTAACACGAGTCAGGGGAGATGTGCTCCCCCGTCGCCGCTGAGGTGTTCTTGAGGAAGATGCATCACTGTTCCAGTGGAGCTGCTCGGCGGCCAACAGATCAGTTTGCGGCGAGCAGTTTCCACAGTGTGAACGTGTAGAGCGGAAAGTTTCTCACTGATCCTTGTTTAGACATTCGGTAATTCACAGATAATCCTTGTGGCAACTGTAGTATGTTTAAAGATATGGTTCTTTTGGTTTTTTCTTTGTCTTGCTGAGAGTTCCACTGATACCCTCTCATGTGGAAAATGCGTCAGCATCAATTTTTTCAACCAGCACATTTACACTCTTTTGTAAAAAGCTTCACTTCATTGGAACAAATCTTCTCTTTTATATAGAATAGAATAGAATAGAATAGAATAGAAGAGTTTTTGTTGATCTCCCACTGGGGGAGATGTACACACCACAGCAGCATCCAAAAATATAGAAAATACCAATAATTAAGCAATATGCATCGTGGTGTCGGCACACAGCAGGTCCAAGGCCCCACCGTCTCCGATTGGACAGTCCACATTCTGGCTGAATGTGGGGAGAGTGGTGGAGAGCGATGTGTGATTAAAGTCTCCTGAGATGACGATCAGAGACTGAGGCTGTGATGTCTGCAGCTGGGACACTGAACTATGGATCAGTTCACAGCAGCTTCAGCCGAGGAGCAGCGTTCAAAAAGTGACGGGACAGTTTATAACATGAATGTAAACACTCGTTGAAATAGGAACGAATCACAAAGTGGTGCTGACAGGGATTAAAAAACAAGTTAAATGTTAAAACATCAGGCAGTCACAGTGGAAATCCAGAACTAGATAAATATTATGAAAAATGTGTTCAGTTTTAACCTGGCATTAGCAAAGCTTTGTGTAACTAAAGAATAACATTTGTGCAGTAAGAGGCTTATTTTTATGGGTTTTGCTGCAGAGGTCAGAGTGCCGTAGACGAGAATACGCCGCCAAATATCTGAATGTCACAATAACGGCAGCATGTCACTTTAAATCCCTGAAACATTTGATAAATAAAAAAGGAAAAATCTCCATTATTCTAAAGTATTACCGACTGGTGCCTTACAACTATAGAAAATGAGAAGAAGTTTATTGTTGGGATCTGAAGTTTGCCATCGAAGCAGGTATGACATCAATACATCGTTAAAGACAATGTCTCCATAAATTCCGAGTGCCTTTTGTTCCTCCCTAAATGATTTCATCCTCTGACATAACTGGTTGTTATCAAGAGCCCACCAGTCAGAAGAGCGACCGGGGAGAACGTTTAAGTGTCTCCTGCTTCTTATTATGTATCACTCTGAGGAGTTATTGGACGCGCACACACCACTTTGGAAAAGAAAAGCCATTTGGCTAATTGAATTTTAACGTTTTGACAGTTAAAATGCATGAGCGCATGGAACTGTGTTCGTCCCAGAGAGGCTGGGAAAATGATCCACCTCACTGGCCTTCAGCGACGTCTTTCTGGATAAAACGCGGGTTTTCACAAATGAGGCCTGACTATGGTTTCACATTTTTCGGAGTAACACCCAGCTGCCGAGGCACAATGCGTGCAGCAGCGCTTTGCCATGCGTGCCACTTTGCTCCGTCAAGAGGAGAGAGTGAAATGGAGTCACCGGCAGTGAAGCGGCGTCTCTGAAAGGACATGTGATCAAAGCACTTCTCTAGAGTCCTTTTCCGTTTGTGTTGTTGCCTCTCCGAGGATGCCTACGAGCCAAACATCAGGTGCGACAATGTGTGAAAACCTCAAACCGATCTAAAGACGTTGGCTGAGAATATTCCGACACCGGATCCTCATAAACTGACACGATGTTGTGAAAACGGTGACGGTATAGGCTATCGGTGTCTGCTGTGGCGATAGGAAGTGTCATTGGATCCCTTCTCGCACAGGGTCCTGGCGACTTGTCATCCACTGAAAAGGGAGTTGTCACAGTGATATATGGGTGTTGTAATCCCTGCAGTGAGAGCCCTGATGTTTACCCAACCCCATATTTCCTCCTCCTCAAAGAGCCCGGACCGGGAACCCTAAACCTGAGAAGAGATTAGCCGGTCGGGAAGAAAAGAGAGGGAGAGAAAGGAGAAGAGGGAGGGGAGGGAGGAGGAAAAGGAGAGGGCTCTATAGGCCTATTCTCCTCTACCTGTTCAGATCTCGTTCTGAAAGGCAGACAGGTGAAACTGTACACGACCCAGTGAAGCTCTTGCTGTGACACCCGTGGAGTTGTACCCTCGCCGGGGTCAAGGGAGATCAGGAAGACTGTCGTCGCTGTGGTTTCAGCACAGTCCCGACTTTTTACAGCTAAATCCAGCAGAGCTCTGGTAATTACACCAGTGGTCTTTAAAAACCATACAGAGCATTGCATAAAGGGAAATCAGAGAAATAAAGTTGTTCAGAAAGCTGTGGGGGTTCAGTTCTCTACCCGCCACCTGTCACAGATACGTTCTTTTAAGGTCCTCCTGCCAATCTCTGGGTGTCCAGATAAATCTGAGGAAGAGGAATGTAATCAAATCAGGCATGTCAGCTCGCATGCATGCAGCCTTCAGAATTCAAACTTGTTGATCTTTGATCACTACGTGCTGCAACGAATACCCATGCGGCCAATAGAAACAAGGCATCCAGCCAGGTACAGAGATGAAAGAAGCAGAGGTAAAGCTGCTGTGTGTCTGGATTCCCTGACTTGTATGACGCAAGTTTGTATTTGTAATGAGCTGGAAGGTGAAAGGCCCGATCTTTGAAATAGGTTTCCAACAAAGTAGGCATGTCAGCTGTGTTTTAACAGTTCTAGAGCTTGTTGCAGCTTGGCAACATGTGTAAACATAGTTTAGGTTTGTTATGTGCTCCATGTCAAGATTTCATAATCCAGGTAAAAAGGTATAATTTACAGAC